AAGCCTACTCTTAGCGGTTTTATTACACCAAGGGATCATTAACGTGCGCATCTTGCACACGGGACCTTCGAGATTTTTCGCCCTTGTCCGAGAAGGCTAGGTGTAGATCTTTCCTACCAGAAGATTAGGGATGAGGCTGAAGGACAGCGGAGTAAGAAGGAGCCAAGGAGTAGTAGTAAAAAGGCTGCAGAAAGAGTCAGGAGCCCAGAGGAGGGGGTGGGGGCAGAAAGTGGAGACGAAAGCAGACGATAGAACATTATTGGAGAGCAGGAAAGGAGGTGAAAGGAGACAATTTTAGAGAGAAAAAAGTTTCTGTTGCTACCCGGATTCGAACCAAGGACCTTTGAATGAAAGGCGAACACCTTAGCCTCTAGGCCACGAGAGCCCGATGTGTCTGATGTTTAAAGAAGAGTAATAAACTTGTTTTGGCTCACAAAGCCGATCTAATTCGAATATTCTTAAAGGAAACAAGTCTGTGATAATATTATATGCAGATCTAAGTCATAAGGCTTGCATGTAACTCAAGAGAGGGCTTCTGTGCTTTATCGAGAGCCCGCACAGCCTTGGAAAACAATTCATGATTCTGATAACGACTTTAAAAGAAAATTGCATTTAAAGCATTTGAGATCTTCATTTTCCTCAACTAACATAAACATATTACAATGCTTATGAGACGGAGAGGGGAGTGAGGGCTGGAGAGGGCTGGGATTAGGGACAGAAAACAGGGAGCGCAGGCGGGCATCAGACGGAGAGCGACAAAAATGGGTTTATCAGATCAACAAAGCCCTCCGCTGTTTTTATACTTCTATTTCAGCCACATTTTCAGATTTAAACATAGAAAATATTGATTATTTCCAAATCCCAACTTCATTTCCACGAAAGCAGAAAGTCCCAAAACAATTTAATTAAACATCTAAAGCCAAGACTGTTCATTTTTTTTTCATGGCTAGATCTCTACCATGGGATGAAAAGAGCGATAATCACTAACCGGATACTGATGAGAAGCGAAGAGACAACGTGTAAGTGCATAGATATACCTGTTTATCAAATAATATTTATACAGATTAATCCGCACTGATATGACCGTATCACAAAATAGGCAGGGAACTGGATCTCAAAAGAAGACGAAAGGTTGAAAGGTGACATGTTCAAACAAAGAAGAGTCGAAACATTCGAAGGCCATTTAGAAACAAACTTGCTGGTTTTTGTCAATTTCAGAATCAACTGCGTCTCAGTTGTCAGCAAATAAAGAAAAAAGACTACAAACAAGAATAAAGCGAGGACAGTAACAGACATGAAGGGACCAAAAATCATTCACATTCCCGCAATCGAGACAAGGACCGTAAAAGCCTGCACGGTAAATGGCACGAGTGATTTGATCAGGCATGGCACGAAGAGCAGAAAGAGTTAAATTGCTGGGCTTTAGGCCAGGCATGCACAGATTTTGATCGAAAAAGTCAGTCGAACTAAAGGTCGAAAGTCCACCGTTATTTTGATGACGAATCTCAAACGTCTGCACACACGAAACCCAAACAAACACACAATCTTCTCTCTCTCTCTCTCTCTCTCTCTCTCTCTCTCTCTCTCTCTCTCTCTCTCTCTCTCTCTCTCTCTCTCACTCACACACATACCCACTCAAACACACACAGACAAACACACGTACACATACACACACAGACACACCCTACACACACAAACACACACCTACACACAGACATACACACAAACACACACAAACATACATACACACATGCACACACATACACACACATACACACCAGCGCGTACGCACGCGCGCGCACACACACTCACACACACACACAGTGCTTAGACCACAAGACTCCACGCGGAGAAAACGACACTCGAGCTAACCCATCTTCCGACATTTCACTCTGTTGTGCCATTAAGTTCACGTTTTCTTTTGTAACTTTTATTTGTCATTATTGTTTACATAAAAAAAATAATTAACCATCCACATCATCCTCATCACCCTTATCCTCATCCTCATCCTAATCCTCATCATCACCACCATCATCATTATCATCATCATCATCATCATCATCATCATCATCATCATCATCATCATCATCATCATCATCATCATCATCATCA